TTCAATTATGTAAAAAGTTTTCATTAAGTCTAATAAAGATAAGAGCATGGTCTCACCTTTAACATTAAAAAAAAATACTAATTATTTATGAATAATATTAATGTTTAGCTATCTAACTGCTTTTTTAGCACTTACTAAAGTAAGTTGAGTAGAAGAAATAATATCTTAAAAGAGATAGATATTATTATATTTGGGTTATTATTTAATATTTTATAATCTAAATTTCAAACTTGTTGACTAATAGGCTCTCCAAAGTTTAATAGTTTGGAGGTTCTTTTTATATCATACACAGTTACTATATTTTGTTATGACTATATATTTTAGATAGTAACCTAGTAGAAAAGCCCTGTAAAGAAGTTTTTATAAATTATTTATTTTTTTTAGATATTCAGTTACAATATTGAATCCAGGTGTTTTTTGGTTTGATTATTTTGTGTAATTAATGTATTAATTAATTTGGTTCTAAAAAACTGAACTATTTTCTTAACTAAATATGCATTATCTTGTTCATTTGCTAGTGATATAGATTCAGAGTTCCAAGACTATGATTTTTTATTATTGCTAATTAATTCTTCTATATTCTTTCAGATCCTGATAAAGAGTTTCTATCTGTCAGACCAAAATTTGGTTTTTACAGAAATAGAGAATAGAGCTAAATTTATTGAGATTTTTTATTCTATTTTGTTTATAAAAGTTCACAGTTAAAAGCTTAATCTATATATTAATTATATATACTGCTAAGATATCTTTGATTACTAAGGCTTGTAGTTTATATATAGATTATACTTGTTGAAATATTAAATTTTGCAGTAGTATATTTAAGTTATATTTAATGCTTTTTAATATGATAAGTCTGTTAAGTTCTAATACTTGTTTATATGAAGGAGATAAGAAGATTACTATATGCCAGATACATGATATAATTAATATGTTAATAGTGAGAATATGATCTTTAAGAAATAAATTTTGAATATTTATATTGTCTAGAATTTGTTTTAATTTTTGAATAGTGCTAGTTCAAAGAGAACTAGAAGTATATTCTTTGTTATTTACACGATATCTAAGTATCAAGACTGTTTTATAATGTCTAAGAAATTTAAAATTTTCTATTTCCAGGAGTGTAGTATTTTTAGCATTTTCTGTTAGAAGTACAAGAATAGATTTATATTTATTTATTTATATAGTGAAGGCTTTTTCATATAGTATTGAGATTTTATTAAAGGTAGTCTAGTCTGTGTTTGAATCTAATTCTATAGTTAAATCATCAGAATATGATACTGCTTAAATAAATAGTTTTATATAAAAATTTTTTAAATATTATTGTTAAGTTTTTGTAAAAAAAAAAAATCAAATGCCATGAGATATAACAGAAGTAAAAGTAGTGATAGTAAATGACTTGAAATAACCCAAATGACTAGTGACTGGTCATTGGGTCATTTTACATTCAAATGACCTATAGAAGGTTATTTAGCATTTGTTAACTGATAATCTAATGCCTTTTAGCCAATTAAAATTGATTATCAGACAAAAGGTTGTTTTTATAGTAATTGTAGAAGTCAAAATTTTACTATATTAATTGATATTTATGTCTTAAGTAAAGTTGTTCCAAAAATAATATAATAAAAAGTTATCTGAATTATAAAAAATTTCAAGATACAGTATATGCAATTTGTTTTCTGAACAACTTTACTTAAGATGTAAATATCGATCAACTTAGCAATGTTTTGACTTTTATATATAGTTACTATTATAGTTTAGTGAAATCATAGTATTTGGTAACTTTTTATATTAGCTATCTGATCAATAAAATTACTTTATATGCAAATGATCCAAATAACCAATGACCAAATGACCTGGGTCATTTAGCCAAATAACTAGGTCATTTAAATTTTGAGTAAATAACTAGGTCATTTACCATCTCTGAGTAAAAGGGGGTCTCCTTGTTATACACCTCTATTTATATTAAATAGTTCTAAAAGTATTCTATTATCTGTAATATAAGTATATTGTTTGTTAAAAAGATTTGCAATTACTAATGTAAATATAGGTGAAAAGCTTATTTATTATAAAGTTAGTATGAGAAATTGGTAATTTACTCAGATAATGAATTGCTGAACTTGTAACAGTATCATATGTATCCATGTGTAAAATGCTTGTAGAAGTTATTTGCATCGATACTGCTTTTGATTGTATTAGTTCTGGGTCACCAATTACTTAATTATTTGTATTTTGGGTATGATCTCATGTGTATTAGGCGGAGAATTTTCAGAGACTTTGTTGTTCTTCATAGTAGAGTCTAGAGTTGTACTTTGCAGTATACTAGTTGTTTCACAATTTCATCCGCCCAGTTTTCATTAGATTAGTAGAATCAAGAATTGGGCATCCTAAAGTTATTCCAGCCGGTAAGGCGGAGTTTAACATGTTAGATTTCGATGTAGAAGAAGTGGTATTTTTCTTTTCTGCAGTAGAAGTTTTGACATTTGTTTTCTGTGATTTTGCCATTTTCTTAATAGATATTGGTTGATCGTTTGCTAGTATTTTACCTTTCCTTAGCCTAAGGTGAGGGCCAGAAAACAAGTGTTTCCTATTTTATATAAGGCTACCCCTCCTCCCCCCAGGTGACCTCTAATTTTTTTTTTTATATATAGATCTGTTATTTTTAAAAGGACCCCCTCCCCTTAAAAAAACACGTGTTTTTTGGCCCTCCCCTAAGGGCATTAGACCTTGTTATTGTATTAAGATTCTCGTCTCTTTTTTTTGAGTTTATTGTAATCGTTCAACCTGGAGCACCCGGCCTAGGAAAAAGAAAAGAGTGCTCGTCGATCCTTTTTTGAGTTTTAATTTGAATACTGGAATAAACATAATTACATTGTAACAAATAAAAAAATAGAAAAAGAAATCTTTTCATGAACGTATGAGTTTTCCGGATAATTATAAAATATTGGTCATGCAACAATTAATATCATGAAATTTATTCCGGCAGAACAAATTTTATGATATTTATCATAGACAGAAGTTCGTCTGATTGGCTAATAAATTCAATTTAATTTTACATTATTTATACAGTTTAAAGTACTTT